AGTGTTCAATTATAGTTTATTTTATTAATAGTATAAAAAATTGATATAATATAACGTAACATTTATTACTAAGATAATAATTACTTATCTATATATAGAAGAAAAAAAACTACTAATTTTAGTGAGGATACAGTAATCACCATATAGGCTAATAAAACTAGTTTTCAACTTGTCAAGCTTGAGAAATGTGTTCCCATCCATCATGACTTAATTAACAAAACAACGTCCTTTGCACAATAACGCCTTACAAATCATTGGACATTGGAATCACAAAGGTCTTTTAAAGTATAAAATTCAGTAAGTGTTATTATTAATAAAATGTTTTGTTTTATTTATGTTGAGCTTTATTTATTCCTGTGCAATATTAAATTTTTTGAAATGAAACTTCTTTAGGCGCGTTGGGAGTAAAAATTCAAGGCGGTGACACACTACGGCTTGACACGATATAACCTTGATCATGCCTTGACGCACGAGCTAACGAGAAAAAAAAAGTGGTAAGGATCGCACAAACACCCTAGCTAATAAAAGCATTATAATAAACTTGATACTGTACGTGGGTAACAATATCCTCTGGTAGTGTGCTAGGAAGTAAATTTTCATGCATATTTTCATCGATAGGCTTGTAGCTTCTGAATAACGGTCTGGGTAAAGCATTTAGCTCATTTGCTAGCCCAGAATTAGAATTATTAGAGTTAAGCAACTCGCATTTTCATTGGAGGACATCGTCATATTTATTTCAAACCAATAATCAACGAGAATATTCGAATAATTTAACAAAATTAGTGTAAACCACTATAAAACGAATTGTTGGTTAGGTTTAAAAATGTTTCTCTTCTTAAATTTAAGCCTTAGAATTCCACAAAATTTGCAGACTATTGCAGATATAGAAATTGTACAGATTACAGAAATGAATTGCAAATAGCATTTATATTAAAACAGCATTATATGTCACTTTTTGAAACATGTCCTTCAAATCCTCCAATTTAATAGCTCTGCTGTTAGTAAGAAGTTTCACTTCAAATATGCGCACATAGTGCACACACAAGTTTTTTCATTTGTACATAAGTTAGGTAAATTGATAGATATAATAATAAATGCAAAAACTTTCTTGATATTTTTTGTATGTGGTGTTTTGTTTCAAATACACCCTTGTTTGCTTTATATTAATACCACATACCGTAATTTCTTTTTGAAATAAAATAACTCGATTAGATTTTTTCATTTTTATCTGGTTTTATACAGTTTTTTTTTTCACAATATTTTGAAGCTGTTTTGAAGTAATCACTCACTTTTGAGTAGTCACTCAAATTTTAAATATATTAATTTCCTGATTAAGCAAGGAGCATATCAAAAATCTTAGATTCACCCATATACGTATTATTTACAAATATACTCAGGGTTCCCTATTTAACCCCGTGTACAGTTTCTGTGCCGTAAGAGAAAGACAACATAACCCAGCTCCATATTAAAACTGCATAAGTATATTTCACCCGGATATGGATTGAACTGCGATTGCGCAAAACTCCGATTGATTGTTGTTTTAGTTCTGTTTGGATTACTTTTTATTTGTGCGCGTAAAAGAGTGATTTTGTTTAGTTTATTGTTTCCAACTATTTTTTGATATTTTTCCAACTATTTTCCAAAGGTTAGGTGAAATGTCAGTCAACCACTTCCCTTTAAAAACATCGACCAATAAAAACTTCTTCAGGTGAGGCATGCGCAGTTAAATGAATATCCGGGTGAAATAGACTTATGCAGAATTCCATATTGTTCTTTCACTGTTTGGGCTTCACTTTTTGGAGATTAGGCTGAGTATATTTGTAAATAATACGTATATGGATTCACCGCGATGCATGGGACTCAAATATGGCCGACTTTAATTCCGGTTTATCAGTGCCGTTCTAATTCTATTTAAAAAGTCTAAACCAAATGTAGAGTAGACGTGGGGTAGACTCAATAATTTGTTGTTTTATTATACGTTGTAAATAAATGTTGGTATAGTTATTAAAATTGTTATAAAAATATATAATTCTAATAAAAATAAATAAGTTATATTTATTAACACAAACATCCGATACGCTACTGAAGCAGGAAATCAAATTGACGTGTCTAAATTCTTTGACATCTAGTCTTTGACAAGTAGTAAATAAAAGCAAAAATACAACAAGAAATATATAATTAGTTAATTTTAAGTGAATTTCATAAATGATCGGTTTACTACACGTATGTATATTAATATAGTCACTTACTAGCGAAAAGTTATTCCAATATTTCACTCGATTTTTGACCGAGATCTACCGCACGCTACACAACCAACTAATTTACAGTCTTTTTCGATAAATCGGAATAGTGTCACTGTTAATTTAAGTTCCGCCACAATTTCCATCTAGATTTGCTACCTTTATAAAACTATCAGTAGTAGAATAAATCATAAATAACATAAAATAAGCTCAGTAAAGACTGACAAATTCACAAAATTTCAAATCAAATTCAAATATGTCAAATGAATCGTCAAACAGAACTGTCAAGGATCCCCACCCTAAAGTCCTTTTTCCGCCCACCATGGATCAAGACCATGGATAGCATTATACTCCTTCATTAATCTTTTTATTCAAAGATTCAAAAATTTCCTGCTATACCTTCCAATTGTACCAACTTATTTTTGGTAAAATAAAATAAACTACTTTGAAATTAAAATGACAGACACATCTATCACTGTCAAGGATTTTGTTTGTGGACAGACTATAGTTTCTATCTTTGGTTTCTATTTTGTTGCAAACGACAGAATTTTTGTTTTGTCGCGGTTTTGTCCGTTCAGTGGAAATCCGCCTTAGCTCTTTACCATGTTTAGAATTAACACAGTAAAATATTTAAGAAAGTATTATTTATTGTTTGAATAATAATAACATCTGAAATAATACCTAATTATAAAATAATTTGAAATAATATATGATCTAGGGAAATCTTTAGGGAAATACTTTATTCAAAGGGGAAATATAGGGAAATAATACTAGTTGTGACATCTATCAGGCAGCTGATACACTGAATAATTTTCTCAAGCAGAAATCGTTTTCTCATGGAAAACTTTTCGCAAAATAAAATAAGTCATTATTGGCAATGATAAATACATACTTATGACAGTTGTTAATACAAATATGCTTAAATTATCTTCTGTTCATGTTACTAAAACCATTGGGATATCTATAACTGTAATTTTGGAAGTAAGTATACCTACTACTATTATGCTTATCTATGTTTCCTTATATAAATATATTATTTGTCGCATGTTAATATTTAAAATGTAATAAAACTAAAATGAATTTATTCGTAAGCGAAATTTAAAATTAAAAAAATTTGTATATAATTATAGTCTCTCCAGCGAGTATGACAATATACAAAAAAAGACAGAAAAAAGATATACTTTGAATAATTAGAATAACGTACAACTCTCATTCTCGTATATATTTGGCTAGACAAACTTATACAGGGTCCGGCAATAGTGCGTCAGGCATCTGTAGCTCCTAGAAGAACAACAAAAGATTAACACCCTTCGCATAGAAGTTGAAACCAATGCAATCAAAACTCTTCCACGTAACTTTGTGGATATAGTTAGGTATATTTAATTATAATCGCCATATGTCTAATTTTCGGCATCTGCCTCCAACAGATACACGCAGTATTATTTTATATGGCGCTCTCAACGAGAAAAAAATCATTGGATGACTTTGATAAAAATTTACTATGGAAAATGCCATGCAAAATATAAAACCGCGAATATCTGCAAAAACGTTAAAAATTTTGAAATACTATAAATACAAAAAATGTTACATTTTTGAATTAGTTCCATTTCCATTTAAAAAAATTTATATTTTAGAAAGTTTGGCGTAAAATTTTGAACATCCTGTATGATTTACGATTACCATATTTACAGCAAAGTAAGTACAGACCATCTAAAGTAGATACTTAATATAGTTTTGATTTCAGGACAGTTCTTGTATATTTAATAATTTTTTTAAGAAAGGCTGAAAAATGTATATTTTTTATTTATTTATTAATATCTCTGAATCTATCAAAATATATTTACTCATATCTTAGGATTATGTAAAGTGATCTGAATAGAAGCCAAAAATACAATAATACAGGGTGTTCCATTTAAAAAAAATCATCCCGATCCACTCACACTTTTTTGAGCCATCCTATACAAGTTAAAATATTTTCCTGAAATACATCCTAGAACATACTTTAGATTTGCACTTATACAAAATTTCTAAATTTTTTATTCTAGGAGCTACAGATGCCCGACGCACTATTGCCGGACCCTGTATATTAGATATTATCGTGTTATGTGCAGACTAGTTGGTATTTTCAAAATATTTTTTGCTACATTTTGGTAATGGTAACGCCAATTTTAAAAATTGTTTTTCATATACCTACAGGTTTTAGGCTTACTTTAACCATATTATAGAGGTTTAGTTTTTTAACACAATGCTATAAATTATGATTATTGTTTGTTCCCGGTAATTAGTAGGTATGTAGATCATAATCATGGGTATTCGAAGGAAACAATTATATATTTTTTGAAAAAAATATCAAAAGTTGGCATATATGATATGTCATTCTATTCAGAATGTCATTTTCTATCGAATAAAATAAAAATATACCAAAGGTTTCATTTAAAAATCAAAAGTTGTAGTAATTTCCGGTGAAACAGGAAGTAACCAAAAACAATTGAATACGTAAATCAATCCTAATTTATGTGATATACTAACATACCAAATCTCGATTTTTCATCTGAAAAAATCGGGATTCGTTATAGGGAAAGGAATAATAGGAATAGGAATAATCGGGAAAGAAGTTATAGGGGTGAACCACTTTTGAGACGCACCCGGTATACATGGTGGTAAACTCTATATATTCTATTTTTCTCCATTATTATTAAATTGACCAAGCACATGTGTGAAATACATATATGCTGCTACTCTATATATTATTATTTTTAGGTTATTATAATCGTTTGTATTGTTTATACGGTACTTGCGAGAGAGTCGAAGGAGCCTATAGATTCAATAAGAGCTTTTGTATATGTTGGCTGTCTTATTACGATCTCAATTGTATTGCTCATTGTGTCTTATTTAATATTCTGTGTAAGAAACATTGTTTATATAATACATTCATTATTCACGCGGGATGATGGTTGACGCTTATGGAAAATGGATGATTTAAAAAAATGGGATTCTATATTATTAACCATATCTATACTATTAACCATATCTCTGTTATTAACGGACTCCATAGTGAGTCAGTGGGGGATTCTCAGTAACTGCGCATGTGCACGTGAGTTCCCAAATCTAGTGCTTTTTCTTGAGAACAAATATATATACAGGCCATATATAAAAGGACTATCAGACTAGCCCATATATAAATGTACACTCAGATTCATATTGAAACATAAAAAAAGATTGCTCCGTGATTATTTTTTTTTTCAAAAACGGTTAATGTTAGATATAGAATGTTTGACATCAAAATTCATAAAATTTTACTGAGAATTTAAGTATGTAAAAAAATTGTGGTACCCATTTAAAATAAGGAAGTTATTGTATATGTTCCGGTATTTCCAAAAGTGCCGTCATATTGAAAATATTTTTATTCGATAGAACTCGTTGTAAAACTTAATGTGCAAAAATCTCAGATCGAGATATTGTAGTTCTCTAGAAACTTCTAATGCTCGCTCAGCCTGGAACACCCTGTATATAAGGTCTGTTTTCACATATGGTCTGTAACATATACAGGTTGTTAACTGGACAGTTTCTTATAGGGGAACAGAATGGCAACACTGCCTATTGAGAACGCATGCACTTATAGGTTTTTTTTGCCGACTCGTCCCGTCGCGTCGTCTATCGACGAGCGGGCCGAGGTTGCCATATTTCAACCATAAAGCTCTTGCCGCGAGTAATAAACAAATTAACAACCTGTATACTCAGTCCCTGTATAAAGGGAGTTCAAATATTCCGTAGTCATAGAACAAGTACGTATTTTTTGAGTCTAAATATTGAATATTAATAATTTTTTAAGAATTTAATTGCACATTTTTAACGCGCAATTTTTTTTCCCTTAAAAAGTATGCGCGGTGGCGTTTTGTTGGTGGCGAGACAAAAAATGTAGTAGGGTTAGTTGAGGAAGGGTTGGGGTAATGGTAAACGATTTTAACAAAAATAATTTTAACAAGGTATAACTTTTAAACTTCGACGTTTGCACTGTAAATTCTAAAAGCGTATATTTTAAGACACTTTACTTAATAGGTGCTTTGATGGACAGCTAGAAATTTGCCATAGGTTAAAAAAAACTTGTTTACATTTACCCCATAGGAAAATCAAATATTGTCCTATTTTTTTGGGGTAAATGTAAACATATTTTTTAAATGGGGTAATAATGAACCAAGAACTATACAAGTTTGTTTTTAGTTGGGTTGTAAGTTTGGTTTGGTTTAAACAAAATTTCGCTAAGATATAAAACATTTTACAATTTTTAAAGCAGCTCTCCAAAAAAATGTTTTTGCACCATAAGCAAATAGTGTTAAAAACTCATTTAATCGAGTCAATACACATCAAAGATGTGGGCGCCACTGTAGCTAGTCCCAGTTATTCCCTATACCCTTATTCCCTACCCGCCAAATTCAAAAGTTATTGGACCTGTTTACAATTGCCCCTGTTTACCATTACTCCAACTAGCCCTAAATACTAGAAGGACGTACCATTCTACGAAAAAAAATTCGGTCGTCGGTTGAGTTGGAAAATATCTATATTAAAATTTATGTAGGGGTGGGGGTAGTTTTCACCCTTCCCGTACTTTTTCTTAATTTTTGTAAAAGTGAAATGTTAAATTTCACACGCATTTAGCAAAACATAGACACCTAAAATCTCATTCAAATCGGGATAGCGGTTCTTAAAATACCTGAAAAAAAGTTTTTATTTTCTTAAAATTTGATACCCTCTAACGGACAAACGAAGCACTTTCGTATAAAGGTAAATTGTGTCCAATGAACTTATTTTGATTCCAAAAATACGTAGTAGTTCTATGTCCACGGAATATTGGGATACCCTGTGTATAACTTTTATCCCCCATTTTTCATAAACATTAAACTTAACATCAATACATCAATCGCCGTGAATCACCGTACTGATATATCATATTTTATAGTGCTATAATCTTTTTTTTAGAAATGCGATTTTAAGAGTTGGTTTCCCGGTTTTGGTTTCTTTTTGTTAGTAGTTTGTTTGCTGATACTGATTGTTATCACATTAACTGACGATGAATTAAGTCTACCTCACTTGGTGCCATTTATAGTTGTATTTTGTAAGCTGATTCAAGCTATTGATAAAGCACATCTACTAAATATTTGTTTCTATTTGAGGTCTATTTTTGCTTTACACAGAATGTATATCAAGGCATTATTCAAATTGTATAGAAAAATCAAGAATAGAACGAGAAAGGTATCTAAGCCTTGCAATTCCTACTGCTTTAAGAGGTAAGTAGATGATTGAAATAAATAGGTATATAAAAACATTAAAAAAAAGTTATTTTCTATATAATGGCAAAAACTATTGGTAAATCAGTACATCACTGGTAAAAATATACCCGCCTATGATACGGAGAAGTCAGGTGTACTGAAAAACGAGACACAGTGTTGCAATATTCGTCAGCAAACGACCGTTACGACCATGGTTACGACGCGCGACGGAGACAACCTATCAATCACTCGTGTCGCACTCGTTAGAACCTAAAACAATAACTGACCGCTTTTGCCAGCTATTTATTGTTTATGAATGAGATGCTAAATCTATATTTTATTTTAAATCTATGGTTTAGACTGAAAGTTTTTATACAGAAATATAGAAAATAAAATTGTCTAAATTCATACATTCTTTTTTATTATTTATATATTTAAACTTATTTAACAATTAAAAATTAAATATACAATGTATATACAGGGTGAGTCTAAATCTCTCTAAATAAGTACCTACGTGCGTATATTTTCAGGGCTGGTAGATCTCAATAAAAGAATCATATTTTCTCTTTACTGTTTTTCATATAAGTCCAAAATAACAGAGATATTTTACTTAACTTTTGAGAACCACTGACGTGTTTCTGGGGACAAAATGTGCTACCCTTAAAAATATTTGCACTTATTTAAGACTTACCCTGTATATTGTTTGTTATATTCCCTTCAAAATTGGCGTTTTTCTGACATCTCATGATTTCTGATGACCAATCTCACGAACTTCTCTCGAATCAATCTGGCATCACTGCCTGGACGAGGTTTTTCTAGTTCCGCTCCGGTGGCAAAACTTAATAATTTACCAAAGGTATTCTCTATAAGACTATTATTTAAAAGACTATTTAAGAAATGCAAAACAACTTATCCAGAATTTTGTTGTAAACATGGATTTTTCATAATCATAATAATTGAATAATATCTTTTTTTCAAGTACAATCTTTTCTTTTTACTCTGCTGTATGCGTAACAAAAAAATCTTAAATATTAACAAAAATTGTGTAAAAGTTGGTAAAATTTTTTTGCCAAAAATTGGTATGAAACTATCGCTAATTGCTAATAGAAAGATTGGTTTAAATATTATTTAACGTATTTAGTTTTTTTATTCAACTTTAATTGAATTTATTGCAGGAAAATGTGAACGAGTCCCATTAAAAAGTCCAAGCACTGAGAGTAGAACCTCTAAAAATTCTACCAGAGGGTTGAGAAGCAACGACAATAGAGGAAGAAATTAAACACGTCACGTTATGTTAACAAAATAGATTAATAAACAATTTCTATTCTCTGTGACTGATTTGTTTGTCCTATTTTTAATTTATTATACTGGGTGTCCCAATATACCGTGGGTATGAAACTACTACTTATTTTTGAAATCAAAATCAGTTAATTGAACACAGTTTACCTCTATCCAAAAGAACTTTGTTTGTCCGTTAGCGGATATCAAAATAACACTCGACTTTCACCAAAAAAAACCAGAAATAGTACGAGAAAGGCAAAAACTACCCTTACCCCCACTTTGCAACTTAAACTCCCCCATCTCCACTTTGCCACTTCAACGACAACTATTCTTTTCGTAAAAAGATCCTTCTAATATTTAGTACATTTTTTATACCTGTGGAAAAGTCACCACCTCGCTTATTTTTTTATTTAAGAACGACCAAAACTAGAAGAAAAACGAGTTCTGTAATTTCGAGCCAGAGAGCAGAATTTACCGGCAGAGGGGAGAATGCTACAGAAAATTACAGGAAGTTCTAGAAGCAGCCACTACACTATATTTATATATTTTATTAGCTGTTGGCTACCTCCGTGGCTGTTCTGGACGATGCCCACATGAAGCCCACAATCCTGGGCGACTCTGGTTCTTGGCTGCAAATTGGGGCTTTAGGCTCCCGTTTGCTCCTTCTATTTTCCATCTTTTATTTTCGTTTCTTCATCAATATTTTTTTTCCATCTCCTGGGTTGCACACGGTGCCTCGTTGCATCGTTTGCTTCCTGGTTTTTTGTGTTTTGGGATCGGTTTCTTCGCTTCCTGATTCCTTACCTTACTGATGAAGCCTGAAGGCAGTTACATCAGTGTGCACTAGTGTAGGTGTGGTTGTGTGAGTGTGTGAGTGTGCCTGTCTGCACTGGTGTACACTGGTGTATACGGTTACGAGTTGAGGGCTGAGCCGTTTAATATTTCTTCTTCTTTTTTATGCATTTCCCTCACTATTTCTTTCTTTTTTATATGGTAAAAAATATTAGCTTATAATTTCTTATTTATTTATTTATTATTAAATTATAGTATTTTCATTTTCATCTTTACATTCAAGTATCTATTTCTGTATTTTATTCTCATTCAAACCAATAAATTTATTTATTTAACAGATTTTATTGTTTTTTTTTAAATTAATAGGTATAGGCCTTCATATACAAGGGTATATAAAAATTCATATACAAGGGTATAGGCAGAGAATAGGTACATTAAAGAAATGCTAACTTCATGTTAAAAAATGGAAACAGACGCCACCTGGTGTCGCCTGGCAGTACTAGCTAAATTGAGGGGAATTGGAGGGGCGGGGCTTAAAAGAGGGGAAATTTTTTAAAAAAATATTATTTATAATTTTTTTTTTTTTTATTTTGTTTGTTATTATTGTTAAAGTAATAAACATATTTTTTTACTACTTTTAATATAATTTAATGTATTAAAAAATTTGTCTATTAACTTTACACAACAAAATCAATTGATATTATTAAAGACTTATTATTTTCAGAGAAAAAATCATTTAGTAAATTAAATTACACATTAGAAAACAATATCATTTATTTTTTAGAGATGCGATTTATATTACAATAATATTGAAATTTATGTATATTTTTTAACAATGAAAAAGAATATCCCGGAACCTGAAAAAGAAAGATGATTAATATGACTTAGAATTAGTTCAAAAACATTTTGCAATTCTTTCAATCAACAATAATATAAAAAAATATAAACATACTATTAAAAAGACATTTTAGTAGTATATTATCATCTATTTACTGATAATACATTACATAAGTATATAAAGGTAATAACATGCATAAGGCATTATGATACAACTACCTGTATCATGATAACACACTAATATGACAAAAAAAATGCTAATTTAAATTCGTTTAATGATCTAATGAAACACTATCTAGCCTCAATGCATGCCATTCCCAAAGGCAAAAAAAACTGTTATACCAAATAGATATAAGTTGAAATTAATAAAAGCATTTAAAACACTAGTTTATATTTATTATTAAAAAAATGCATCAAAAAGTACTTTTATTCAGTTCATACCCTTGGATATATTATGTATTTATATATCGCACATCCCGTTCAAAAAGTTTTTACTAACTAAAATAGAGAATATAGAAGAACATTGTCAGGAGAAGTAAAAGAAATTTTAAGTTAAGGCAATATGCTCCTTTTTGCATATTAACGGCTAAATAGTATAATGTTGATTTAATTAAAATTTAACTGGCCATCCGTCTGAGGTATAAATCAGATTAAAAGGAATGTTTTTTTTAATTAATTGGCTTTGTTTTGTAAACATTTTGAAGACAATAAAGTTTTGAACGGGCTGTGGGATATAAACAAGGATCTTACTATTATTTTGGAGGTTAGAAAGTTATTAATTAATAAAAACATAATCAAAACTCATTTTTCATTTTCATAATATAGAGTACTTAGTGTTTTGATATTATTATCGGGAAATAATACGTTTAGTTAAATAGGTACGCTGCCATGCAAGTTCTATCGGCAGGTCTTGAGTTCTTGATTGATCTTGCAAGAGTTGAAATCTTAAAAATTTACAAAAAATACGTTTTACATCTTAGTTGTATTACGAATAAAGTATTTGTGTGAAATTTCTGACTTACCAGTTAACTGAATAATCGTATTTAAATACATCCAAATGGTAATTTAATATTTGTAAAAAAAGCAAAAATTTGTTTTAAATCACTTGCCAGGACAGCCGGCCAGCTTCTTTGTTAACAAAATGGCCGCGGTATCATGATTTAAGCAATGTGAGTGATAAAGAAAGCCAATGCCTGGCAGATGTTGCTTTCTTTGTCGTTGGTCCTGGCACGTTTAAATTTGACTGTTGCCTGTTTTCCCATACAAGTGACACCCCCGTGGGTATAGGGTATAGGGGTATACTCTGTTTTTTTTCTCAGGTAAGATTTCGACAGACGATGACAGAAGAAAAGCAGATGACGTCCCATACCAATTTCTCATTTTACGTAAAAAAGATTTCTTAGTAATTTTTAATTTTATCTATGGGATGGGTTAAAATATACAATCCGTTCATGCGTCTGTGTCTTGTTTGTTTTTAACCAGTTTCATTGGTTTATTTAAAAATGGACAGATCGTATTTTCAATTTTATTTGGTTTTGACGGAACGATGAACTAATATACAATTTTTTTAAAAGTTCCTCAATATGCCCGACCTAGTTACGAAAATTGGTAGTTTTTTTAATTGAAAAATTTTTTTTTTTTTTTTTAAATAAGAAATTTGATTAAACTCTTTGGTTAACCAATAACATTTTTGAGGATTGTCAAGGTTTGACGTTTTAAAATTAGGTTATAGGTGGTTGTCATAAATAAAAAACATAGATTATTGAAATTATTTAATAAGAATAAAGGTATTTACCGCAGATCCGAAGAGATTTTACTTAAAAGTTATTTTATAACTTTTTCTCAGTGAGAATATTAACTCCCCTGTTACTTATATTTCAGTTAAAGGGACGTAAAAACTATAGAGAGTGAATTTTTGTTTTCACGTTTTGACGATATCTGAGAGTTCCTAGAATTATCAAGATTATTGAATAATTATATTTTTAATAAGTGAAATTTAATAACAACTTAGAAATAGGATTTGTTGCTTTTCATGTTATAGTTGATAGATCACCCCATTTCTCTTTAATTTGTTTTTATTTCAGTACTGTTAATCACAAATTGAATTAATGTGTGTGCAAAACAGCTATATATTTTAAAAAAAAAAAAAAAAAAAAAAAAGTTTTTTTAATAATAATATGAATATATACTGTTAAATGTACAACTACAAAAGTCTTTATCAAAAATTATAAGGTAATAAATGTTTTAAAATATAATTTATGAAAATTTTTATAATAAAGATTAGGAAAGCACAATCCTCTGAGGGGAAAAGAAATACGTCAAAAGACTCATTAAATATACTTTATGTAAAAAATAAAAACATACAAAAACAGTCATCCATGCAAACTTTAATAATAAAAAAAAAAAAAAAAAAAAAAAAAAAAAAAAAAATTGTGTTTCACACTTCTGTCAGAAAAGGCCGATAAAATGGTTTGTTTTAAATATTTAAACTATAGTAAAAGCCAGAAACACATCAGAAAATATCAACAACCAACAAACTAATAGTTTGGAATCAGTACGTAAATTTTTATACGCTAGTAAGAGTTGATGCGTCCAACTTAACAAGTATAGGATTAAAAGAATTTTTCTATATATAATTATTAATGACTAGAGTTTACTATACAATGTCCTTCTGCTTATTTATGAAATGACTTTCCGTTCAAATGTGAGGAATACCAGTAAATAAAGACATATAATTTTTTGTTTGGCTTGGTTTTGATATTCTAACACATCTATTACAAACCTTTAGTGGTTTTAGTAAGTAACTGTATTTTTTATTATTTCTTAAAAAAAAAAAAAGTAAAGTAAAAAAATATATATTTCAAAATATAAAAACAATGCAATAGATATCAAACAGATTCATAAAAAACTTACTTACAATTAATATTTCAAGTTGTTATTTGATCTTTGGTCCCTCATTACCAACATTACCTTATTTAGGTCTTCTCTACTAACTCAACTTTTAAACCTGTTTTGTATTTTAAAATAAAAAAAAATTTTAAAACTGATTTACAACAATCTGTAATGCCCGCGCTGTTTCCTGAAATATAAGTTTTAATCTATTTATTATCATTATTACATATTTACAAACCTGAAAATTACGGATACGAGGAAACTTCTCAAAATAATTAGAGACCTTTTTACAAACATCTGGACTAATTTATTTCACGAATTGTGGACGAGTTAATTTTTCTAATACATTTTAAGCGTTTTTTTACACATGTTTGAATATTTCTTTTCCAGCCTAATTTCCTCAGTTTGTGATCGGTGAAAAGATATTATAAACATATATAATTAGTAACTGCAGGTTGCAGGTTAAAAAAAAGAACAAGATGTTCGAATAGAAAAGTAGAATTTGTGATTAAGAAACTCAAAAAAAT